CTCCCACCCCTGATTTCGGCCTGCCCACCCCTACCGTTCTTGGCTGCTGTTCTGGCTCAAGTTTTGGCGTTTTTCTTTGCAATTTGCATTTTGTCACAATAAAACCTGCCCTGGTCTCTCTCCTCCCTACAGTATCTTTGCATACATAACTGTGCAAAGGGAAAAGGGTTTCACGTATGACTTACACCATGAGTGGGCCTGAGCTCTGTTTTAGTTAGGAAAAATACTGAAGAATTGTATGTTACTCAAAACTACGTGGCATGTGAAGGAAATGTGGTTATGTTTTAGGTTTTCTGAGACCTGAGTATTTACATAAAAGGTTTTACTCCTGCCCCCATAATGTAAGTTCTTAACTATTCTTGTTAAATAATAAACTTTTCTGACAGCTTGGTGTATAAAGGTCAAAACCATGAACTCAGATGAGCCTGGAATACGCCCCGCTCTCAGGCCCTTTGGAAGGAAGGTCTGGAGACCCAGTCGTCGTCACTTGCTATCCAGGACACATTGCAGGCAGCCTGAAATAAGAGTTGGAGAGCAAAGATTCCACCATGACTGCTTTTTATGCAGATCGTGAACAGATCATTTCAGTGTAGCATTTTTAACAATTAGATACGATTCTTCCAAAATGAAGTGGGAAATGAAGTTTCCCATCGGGTCGAGGATCCTTTGTAGAGGATCCTCGTTTGTGGAGACGTTTGTAAAATGTGAGCCTGGGCTGGGGATATAGCTCAGTGGCACAAGCGCCTGCCTGGCAAGCACAAGGTCCTGAGTTCGATTCCGGGTATCAAAAAAAAAAAATATGTGAAGTGTGAGCCTGGACAGATGTTGAGAAGCAAGGCATTTTGGGAACTCACAGAGTCCTAGCACCGGTGTCTGGGATTTGCGGGAGTGCTGATGGGGGACTGCTGGCCCGGCACACCCTAGCTGGCATGTGGGAGACACAGGTGGCCGTGCGCAGGCCCTCGCCCACCCCAGCCCTCGCCTCCCTCCCCGGAAGACAGATCTCCACCTTGTAGTTCCCCTTCCCTAACACAGCGTCATATTCTGGGAAAGACCGCTGCTGGTTCTGGGTGCGAGGCCGCTTACGTGCTATTTACCCGCCAAGCAGCCGCTCGAGAACAGTGCCCATCTTTGGAGGAGTTTCTCTTCCCCCAGGACGCGTTCCTCAGCCGCCGCCCTGCAGTCCTGGAGGTCTCTCTGCCCCGGCTCCGGGCACAGGGCTGCTACCCGCTGGATGCTTCCTTACCAGTAGCAAAACAAAACAGAAACCCCTTCCGTGTTCTTCACTTCACACTAGCACCGGGCAGAGTAATTCTGCTGTGTGCATTTGCGGCCAGCTTAGAGTAAGAAAAATCCTGGCTTTGGGGTTCCTTTTGTTGAAGGAACAATTAAAAGGAGGAGTGGCGCCAGCTAAGGGGCGGGGGAAGCCTAGAAAACATCGCTGGGCTGAATGGCCTCGGACCTCCTTTTCCTCGGACCTCCTTTTCCTCGGTCCCTTTCCTGCCCTCCTCAGCCGGGCTCCTGCCCGATGTCCCCTTGCTCAGACCAGGCATTCTGCTTGCTTCTCCAGGGTGCCGGGTCAAAGCCAAGGAGTCAGAGGCAGAGCTGCCCATTCTGCGCTGGGTGGCGGTGCTGTTTTTGCTTACTTTGATGTAATGACAGAAACATACGTAGTCCTAACTTAACTTACAGTACAGCGTCAGGTCAGACGGCCCCTGGAAAATAAGTGAATGCTGGCGAGCGGGATGTGGTGTCCTCAGGACCAGGGGCAAATGCGTATAAGCAGACTGAGTGTATTACAGACTCCAACTTGTGATTAGACGTTTCCTTGTTATTTTTTCTAGAAAGAAAGGAGATGCATTAAAGACGAGCGACTTTTACTTATTGCATTAGCATTGATGGCATTTTCCAAGACCTTTAGGGTAACGGTAAATTACCCTGCTGACCGTAAGGATTAATTTCCCAGTGGGAAGGCAGGAGCCAAAACATAAGCTCTGATCTCCAAAACGATTTTACTTGATCGATTTTAAACTTTATCTTTCAGTATTTTTAAATTTAAGCGGCTAAACAGGAACAAGTGGGTTTGAAATTTTTCGGGGTGTTTCGTCTTGGTGCCATTTGACTCAGTGGAAGAAACCCAGGATCAAAATCTGAGTAGATGGGGCTGGGGATTTAGCTCAGCGGCACAGCGCCTGCCTGGCAAGCGCAAAGTCGTGAGTTCGATTCCCGGTACTGGAAAACAAACAAACAAACAAAGAAAAACAAAATCTGAGTAGACACAGACAGAGGGCATGGATATAGGCCAGGACTAGAACAATCCATCTCTGATTTATCAGTCATTTCAAGAAGATTACCAGTATTTATGTTCAGAAAGTGTTAAAATTTTACTTCCTCCAGACGATGTAAACCTTGAGCAAAGGAATAATTATTACTCAGTTGTCTGTCATTTGGGGTCCAGTTGCATGAGTTTGGTCTGCAGTGGAACTTTAATACTGAAAAGCACTAGTCCCCGTCCTTTTTTAAATAGGTGTTTTTGTTCCTGCACCAGGTCTTCTTGGTTAGATCACTTCTCTTTCTTGTTACATATTCTGTACAGCCCAGCTTTTAGCTTCTGCCTTCTTCATAATTGCCGGGTAGAATTGTTTTCTGCCAAAGGATGAGAAACTTGGATTTGATCGCAGCTGGAGCTTGGCAGTCTTTCCCTGGCATTGCATTCTGCTAGTATCATAGCAGAGCTTGACCTACTTTCTTCACACAGCAAGCTCCTGCCAGCACGTTAAAGTTTTCCTCCAAACAAGAGCCTTGCCTTCGGCGCACACAAGGGGCGCACGTGGAGAGCACTTGGGAGCTAACCACAGCCTGTGCCACCATGCAGCGGCCGCACAAGGACTGTGCCTTTTGCGGGGTGGTGGTGGGGGAGGTGGGCGTGGTTTCCGGTACCAGGAATCGAACTCACAACCTCACGTTTGCCAGGCAGGCGCTGTGCCGCTGAGCTAAATCCCCAGCCCCAAGGACTGTGCTTGGAGCCCAGCGCAGATGTGATTCTCATCCCGGGTCTATTTCTGAAGAAGTCCACACCTACAAGTGCCTGCTGGATTCCACCAAAGGCTACGCAGAACGCGTTGCTTATTGTCCACTTTTCAGATGTCTGCGAATACGACCAGGATTTTCTATGTTTCACCCTACTCTGCTTCCTTTTGCCATCCCGAGAAATTACCCTGTTTTCCCCCTTTTCAGATACCTGCGAATACAACCAGGATTTTCTATGTTTCACCCTACTCTGCTTTCTTTTGCCATCCCGAGAAATTACCCTGTTTTCCCCCTTCCACACACAGTTTCCCTTTAGTAGCCAACCTGCTTGTCACCAGCATTTGAAAGGAAGATAAATTAAAGGCGCCTAAGGAACTCCATGGCCAGAATGAGATAGACAGGGCTTAGCATTTTTATATAGCTTGAAAGACTCTTAGTGTTTATTTGTTTTACATAACCAACATAGCAAATGAAACAATTGGATAAAGGCATCAGCCTAAGGCATCGATGTGTCCTATTTTCCTGCGTGTTCAGCGCCCTGGATAGGAAAAGTGCGAAGACAGAGTCACACCCCGCCTGGTGAGGAGAGCTGGGCTGGAGGTGCTGGGATGAGTCCCACCAGCAGCGTCCCTCCTGTATGTGGAATAATTTGTTCTGTCGGGAGTTGCTCGCAGTCAGCTTTCACACACCCTTGGAGGGAGAGAAGAAAGACGTAACAAGTACCAGTTTTATATGTGTTGCAAAAAATACCTCTTCTAAAAGTGTGAAGCACAGAGGGAAGTGGTGTGGTTATGAAATAAGGTGATTTTTGTGCTAATTGATACTGAATACAGAGGGGCATTAATTGTGTTTAATGAACAAACCACACAAGTGGTTTCATCAAACGATGGCAAAATGCAGGTTCCCATCATTTTTAAATGGAGGAAAGTGAAATTTAAAAAAAATATTACTTATCAGCTAAAAAGCAATCTGGTTCTTAAGCAACAACAAAGTAATGTAAGCATTCTGACAAGTTATGTGAGAACACAGACCCATCTTCAGAGTAAATTAAGCTACTTCTGTCCAGATCTGTATGACAATAGAGATTGTTTTGAATTATATTAGACCTGTGTGCTGTGCTCCCGTTTTTTTTTTCTTTATTTTCATGCAGTCGTCTTTTATGCTCTACATTAATTATTTAACTTGTTGCTACTTTTCAACAACATTAAAAATTGGTTTGCTGTGAATGAGAGCACATTATTGGTGGATTTGAGGGCAAACATCAGCGATTACTGGTTTTTGTGTATAAGGAATGCATTTTGTGGCATTTGTTAAGGAATAAAATTGTACTGCTTTAAAAGTGTTGAGGTCTAGAGAGAAATCATGAAAAATGATTAAAAATTAGAATATAGGATGAAGTTTTCATCAATGGTGTTAGATCTTATATTTTTCTTCTTTT